TTAGAGGGAGAGAGATGGGGGGGACATTGATTTTGTTGTTCCATTTAGTTATGCATTTATTGGTTGGTTTTTGTATGTGCCCTCACTGGGGATCAAACCTGCAACCTTAGTGTTACCGGGACAATGCTCTAACCAACTTAAGTTACCCAGCCAGGGCTATATTCCCTAATTTTATTTAGCATAAACAGATCTGTTACTCTGTTTAGGAATTTAATGATTCGGTAACCTGTTTCTTTAATTTAAAAAAAAAGAAGCAAGCTCCTGCCCTCTTACCTGGTTTCCATTTTTTGTGACCTTTGGTTTTATGATATAGAAGTTAATTGATTTCTATTTTTAAATCATGATCATGCACTGGCCATGGTCAGGTCATGAAATTATTGTATAGGTATATTACAACATGAAGTAGTGGTTTGTGAATTTTGCTGATCATCTTTAAAGTTATCTGTTTTTGGTTAGTGCAGTCAGTTAAGTATCTTTGATTATCTTAATAGATGAAGAATAGCTATTCTAACCAGTCTAAACATCTTCATTTTCTTATAGTTCTCATCCTTTAATTTGCTATTACCTACCCCTTCTCTATGAAATAAAACCAGTCAATATAGTACATTCTTACCTATTTGGAAATTATCCACATTGCTTTTTTTCTTGGCTGATTTTGGATTGACGTCACTTACTGGGCAGGAGGCTTTCCTCATTTGTGGAATGAGATTCAGAATTTTTCTGATTTTGCTTTGTCAAGACACAGTAGTGTCTTAAGTGAGGACTTTTTTTTTTTTTTTTTTTCCCCTTACTGGTTCTCCTGTATTCATTTTCAAAGTCAGGAAAGGAAGTAAAGTTGGTAGAAAACAGATGCTGTGATGTTAATTTGTCTTTTATTTAATCTTTAATTCTTACTGATTAAGCAGAAGGCAGTAAAGGGCAGAAAAAGGAATAAACACTGGAAACCTTAGTAGTACTTCATAGGTACTCAGTAAAATTTGCTGTTGAAGATGATGGCTAAAGAGTAATAAGGAGAAGAGGAAGGCCAAGAAATTGAAAACCATTTGAAAAAATAATGAAAGAAAACTTCCCCAATCTGTTGAAGGAAATAGACCTGCAAGTCCAGAAGCTCAGAGTGTCCCAAATAAGTTGGACTCAAAGAGGAACACACCAAGACACATCATAATTAAATTATGCAAGATTAAAGATAAGGAGAGAATCTTCAAAGCAACAAGAGAAAAGGAGAGAGTTACCTACAAAGGAGTTCCATAAGAATATCAACTGATTTCTCAAAAGAAACCTTGCAGGCAAGAAGGGGCTGGCAAAAAGTATTCAAAGTGATGAAAAGCAAGGACCTACATCCAAGATTCCTCTCTCCACCAAAGCTGTCATTTAGAATGGAAGGACAGATAAAGTGCTTCCCAGATAAGGTCAAGTTAAAGGAGTTGATCATCACCAAGCCCATACTATATGAAATGTTAAAGGGATTTTTCTAAGAAAAAAAAAGATCAAAATCATGAACAGTAAAATGACAACAAACTCTTCAACTATCAACAACTGAACCTTAAAAAACAAAAACAAATTAAGCAAAAACTAGAACAGGAAGAGAATCACAGAAATGGGGTTCACATGGAGGGTTATCAGTGGGGAAGGGAAGGGGAGAGAATGGGATAAAGGTATAGGAATTAAGAAGCATAATTGGAAGATACAAAATAGGGGAATGGAGAAGCCAAAGAACTTAGATGTATGACCAATGGACATGAACTAAGGAGTGGGGGGAATGCTTTAGGGAAGGGGGTTATAGGGTGGAGGGGGATAAACGGGAGGAAACAGGACAATTGTAATAGCATAATCAATAAAATATACTCAAAAATAAAGTAATTTGGAGGCACTGTACATCCAGGAACTAGAAAAGAGAGTAAGTTGGGGGGGGGGGGTGGAAGCAGAAAGAGGGAGAAAAAGAGAGAGGGAAAGAAAAGTATGTGCCTGGTGGTAGGTAGATTGTAGGTTGTATCAGGAAGATGTGGAGGAGAAACCCAATGAGAACTTTTTTTGTAATTTTGCTCATTGCTTTGAGGTTACTTGACACTTCTTATAACATCTTACTTGATAACTAGATTTTTGGAACCTGAGTTTTCTCTTTAGGGTAGATTTTATGCACATATCTTAGTTTGCTTCTCCATTTCAGTTTATATCTGTTGTCCTCAGTATATCTAATATTCATGGATGTGATTGTATCAGAGAATTTTGAAGGTCCTTAAAATGTTTTTAGATCTTGAGCAATATGTTATAAATTAATTTTTTTAGAAATGGAAAGCATTGTCTCAATGAAATATATTTATTCACATAGTTAATTTTATTTTTAATCCTCAACTGAGGGTGTGTTTTATTGATTTTTTTAGAGAGATTGACAGAGGGAACCACTGATGTGAGAAAGGAAAATCGACCGGTTATCTCCTGCATGCACACTGACCAGGGATCGAACCAGCAACCTTTTGGTGTTCAGGATGACACTCCAGCCAACTGAGCCACCGGGTCAAAGCTCACATAGTTAATTTTTATAAAAAGATAATATCAGTAGCCCTAGCTGGTGTGGCTCAGCTAGGCCTGCGAACCAAAGGGTCCCTGGTTGGATTCCTGGTATAGGGCACATGCATGCCTGGGTTGCAGGCCAGGTCCTCAGCAAGGGGGCGCGTGAGATGTAACCACACACTGATGTTTCTCTCCCTCTCTTTCTCCCTCCCTTCCCCTCTCTAAAAATAAATAAATAAAATCTTTAAAATAAATAAGTAAATAAATGAAATGTTAAAAAAAAAAAGATAATATAAATAGCCTTGACTGGTGTCGCTATGGGTATCATCCTGCAAACTGGAGGGTCTCTGGTTTGATTCCCAGTTAGGGCACATGCCTGGGTTGTGGGCCAGGTCCCTGGGTGGTGGTGTACAAGAGACAGCCAATTGATGTTTCTCTTGCACATTAATGTCTCTCTCTCTCCCTTCCTTCCCCTCTCTCTAAAAATAAATGAATAAAATCTTTCTAAAAATAAAACAAAACAATAACACATATAACCAAAGAAATGTAAGTTATGAAGCTAGTAAGCAGGATGTGCCAAGATGTAGAACCAAGTGATGTCTCCTGAACCTTTATGTTTAGTCACATAAAGTTAAATTAGAATTACTTTCCTAGAAGAACAAGATTTAAATGTCTGGCTAAGTTCTTGGCCTTTTGTTTTAGAAAACAACAGTGACTCTCAGAGATTTGGCTTTTTTTTTTTTTTTTTTTTTAATGTAGGTAGCTCAAGAACCAGGAGAATCCAAAATGAATATTCTTTGGCATGCTGAATTTTTAACTACCAGTCTTTACATACCTTTTGTTTGTATCAGTTTGGAAAATACTAAGTGCAGTCTGAAAACTGTGAGGTTCACAAATGTTGATACATCATGTAATAATAGCAAATTGAAATATTTTTTCCTTAAGTGCATCCATAAAACTGAAGCAGACTCTATATTACAAAGTATTTTGTCTTCTATGATTTGTGCTTTAATAATCTTTCACATTTCTCCGCCAATGTAATAGTTTTCCCAAATGAAAAACTTTTATTCTGATTGCAAAATGATACGTATTGTCTATTTAATAAAGCAAGCATCAAACACCTTTGAATAGTATAAATGGGTCAGAATCATCTGAAGTCTTCAGTTAAGAGAGTAACAACTGTTTAACATTGTATTGGACACAAACACCTGGAGATAGAAATTCTTTGTTAACTTTGTATGTGAAAAATATCTTCTGGTTAGTGGTTCATTTTTTTAAATTGTTAATTTTAATGAACAGAAGTTACTAATTTCAATATTAAATATGTGAAGTAGGGATCCTGTTTTATTTCATACACCCTAAATATGGATATTAGTTTTTACAAGGACCACATAATTTTTCTCACTTTTTGTCTGTTATAAAACAAATTAAAAAAAATTTTATGGACTTTTTATTTTTTTTCATTTATCAGTTTGTCTGTTTTTGTGCCAGTATTCCACTGTCTAATTTACAGTGTCACATCATTTTTCTTTATATCTTAATAAAGAAGAAAGTGAGTTCCCTCACTTTCTTTTCCCTGAAGTATTCTGGCTATTCTTGGCCTTGTTCTTTTATACATATTTAGAACCTATTTATTAAGTTGCTCTCCTAAATCTGTGAGATGTTTTTGAAATTGCATTGAATCATTACACCAGTTTCAGAGAGAATTTATATCTTTGTGATACTGAATTTTGAAACTGGACATGGGCGTAACTTCCCTTTTGTTTTATTTTATGTCTTCCAGTAAAATCTCACACTTCTTTTCAAGAAAGTTTGCATATCTTCTATTAGCCTCTAACTTAGAACAGAGTTCATTAAACTGTAGCTCCAGTGGCCAAATCTGAACACTACCTGTTTTTGTAATGTCCATAAGCTGAGAATGCTAGCTAAGAATTTTATAAATGGTTGGAAGAAAATCAAAAGAACAACAGTATTTAATAATGTGAAATTATATAAAATTGAAATTTTAGTGTCCATAAATAAAAGTTGGTTGGTACATAGTTAATGTTTATTCATTTAAGTATGTAGTTTCTTCTGCACTACAAAGGGCAGAGTCCATTGTTTTAACACAGGTTCTATGGCCCACGGATCTAAAATATTTTACTATTTGATCCTTTATAGAAAAAGTATGTCCACCTCTGACTTAGAATTATTGTTTGTCATTGTTTATATACTTCAGGTGAATGTCTATGTTGGGGGTGGAGGTAGTGTCTTAGCCTCCTTTTCTTTACCTGTATCTCCAGTTCTGATAAGACTTAAACTCATAATGAGCCACTGTTAACCAAAGTGTGTTGCATTCTTTAAATTTGTGTAGGTAGAGAGAAATATTGAAAACTGTTGATGTCTTGTTTTATATAATAATCATTGTACCTGTGTTTTTGTGTTTTACATTTGAGAATTTAATTTAATAAAATACGAATTTGCTTATTTACTGATGTCCCCCTTTATAGGAAATTAAGAGAGATACAGAATCCAAGAATGACGATTTGCCCATCAAACGGGAAAGGCATGGGAATGTAGCAAGTCTTGTACAACGAATAAGCACCTATGGACTTCCAGCTGGCGGAATTCAGCCACATCCACAAACTAAAAACATTAAGAAGAGTATGTAAATAATATTTTACTATTAAATTAAGTCAGAATTTTTTAAAAAGTGTCTTGTAGCTGTTTGTAAATTATATTAAGAAAAATCAGCTCACTCTCTTGCAGCCAAGTGCGCTTTCTCTCATGTTACAAGTTACTGCTGGCTAATGTAGTCATTGTTCATATGACAGCCTGAGTTGCTGACAACTATGTGTGGGAATTATAAATTAGAATATGAGGCTTTGTTTTCTTAAGAGTGTTAAAAACTCAGTTGAATAGTTAACACTTTGCCTTAAACTGATTTTAATACCACTTATTTAATGACATGGTTAAATGTCTGCTTATTCTTAAGCAGTATAGGTAGATACAAGAGTTCTGATAGTACCTTTCTTTAGTGGTTAAATACCTGAACATAAACATTCACTTTTCCAAGGTGATTGGCCCAGCAGAGTGCCTTTTAAGTATTTGGTACTCCGTAAATATGTTAGGAGAACAGTTTGGCATAGAGAGCGAGCATACCACATTTGAAATCAGACATGAGTCCAAGTACATCTTATTACTTTAGATCATTTAAACTGTTGAGTTTTATTTTGCTGCTGCTGAGAAAGTGGTTAAAAAAAAAAGACAGGTAATATTGCTGTTCTCAAAGAGCTTGACGTCTTGAGAAAGACATAAAAAAAGTATTAAATATGTACAAAGAAGTGAAGCATTTATGGAAGTAGACAACATTTTAACATAGTAAAACCTGAAGTTCCTTGAAAGATTGAATACTGATTACTATGTTCAATTTAATTTAATAAGTAGTAAATGAGTGTTCAACCATATTTATCTTAGATTAGTGTCTTTGATATTGAGGTCTTCAAATCCCTTGCAATACCAAGTAGTCTACGGAAAAGAAATTCGTTTACATGCATTTCACAAATGTAAGAAAAATGTGTGTATGTTATAGTCTCCTTATATCTCAGCCTGTTATTTTCTATACTATTGTCTGTGAAGTTTGGGGAAACCTGTACTTTCTGGGTTATATCACCCTTTGTTTACTTTCATAAAATCAAACTAGATTTTCATTTAAAAAAATATTTCATGACATCGAGACAGACCAATAAAAGGGTTCTCTGTGTTCTCTGTTTCCCAGTAAATGGGATGTACAAACAATATTTAGATATTACCCATACTGTTTTCAGTCTTCTGGCTTGAAGGTAGACAGTTTCAGTAGTTTTAATTGTCCTGGACTCTGAAATTCTGTTTGGAGATTCAGGAACAGATAACAGACTATGTCCACATCCTAAAAGTGAAGCTCCTTGTAGAAGTTTTGTGCGCAAGAAGAATTTACAGGCCCACAGAAGGGCTATTAATGACCTCTGTCTGTTGTAAAATCCACCTACCATTTTATTTATATTTACTGAACTATAAAGAGACAAGTTTCTTCTTAAGGCTAGACAAAGAGTTTCAAAGTCATGAATATTTTATTTCATTTCCTGATAGGAAAGGGTCTAAATTTTTAACTTCCTCAAGAACATGGGTCATAATTCTTTTTCTTGTAAGAAAGAAAAAACATCATGTAGTGTGTGCCAGGAGGCTTAGGTTTTTTTCCCTAAGACTCTTCCATAACTTGCTTTTAAGTGCCTGTGCTGCAAGGACTAAATTGGTCAGTTGGTGCTAACGTTTAAAACAGGATGCAGGTTGTTTTTGCTTTCAGATTGCTTTTCCAGGAAAGGCAAGCTTATGTGTTTTCTTTTTTAATCTTTTTTTTTTTTAACTGTTTGCATCATATTCTTACTTCACAAAATAGAGTAGTTTTTGAAAATGGTTCATTGCAATGTTAAATAGTTGTGGATACTACTAACCAATACTATTAAAATATATCTTTAAAAAACCTTAAAATCATTATAAAGGTTGATAGTGATACATACTGCAGATTGAATATTCAATTTAAATCTCTGTGTGCCAAGACAAGTGAATCTTCATGTGTTGAATTTTGTATAAGCAACTAAGAAGGACAGGTTCAAATAGATAGAATGGTGTTAAATATTTGGAAATTGTACTTGTTAGCTTGTTTTTTTTTTTAAGTCTCCACAGCCAAAAAAATATTGGCTTTTTTGTGAAGTCTGGTCATGAAGCTGTTGAAACTTTAGTTAAGCATGGTAGCTTCTTTGGTCAAATAAACAGGTATTTTCTAGAGCTAGCACAGAATAATGTTTTTCTAGGACAGAGTTGACTATTGTAAGTTACAGAAGAGCAAAGCAGGTATAATTCTCACATTACTGCTGAGACCCTTGTAAAATCACGCATGAAGGTAATGAATGGTATAGAGTATTTTACTTAGAGAGTAAAAAATTGACATCTTTCAGCATCACAACTCTCTATGACATTCATTGTGGAATATTACATGTGGGGGGGAAATGGCTGTCAGATGTGAATCTCCTCTTGGCTTATTGGCTCGTATGAGGGAAGGAATCAGTGCTCGTAACTTTATATTCCTTATTAGTGGAAACTCATGCTGCAGAAATCATTTTTCATCTAGTTAATAATTATTTTGAACGTGAAAGATACATTGTGGTTGTTACTGATCACCAGTGGCTGTGGAGAAAGAAGCGATGTCGCCACATGAAAAACTAGTTGACTAGAATGCCAGTCTACACAGAGTTTAATTCCCAGTAATCAGTTGGTAGTAAATAATATGTCTCCTGATTTTGAGTCAGCATTGAAGAACGTAGTGAAAATTCTGAATAACATCAAAATATGGTCCCTGAAAATACATCTTTACAGCTTATATTTTCTGGAAAAAATAGGCATATTAGTTCAGGCTGTGCTCTTTGATATTAAAATACTCTGATTCATAAGGGGGGAAAAAACTCATTCAAATGACTCCTCTATAGCTTCAACGTCTTGAATGGGGTAGGGTGTTCTAACTTTCTATTTTATTTTGAAAATGTTTAAATATAGAAAAGTTGAAAGAATAACTGCAGTGAACATGATACACTCTTTATCTAAATTTGCTGTTAACATTTTGTCATATCGGGTTTATCTCTATATCTCTATACTCGTTCATACACAAATACATTTTGAAACTGAATCAGTCGAAAGTACATTTTAGACATGATACTGCACCCCTAATCATATGAGTTTTTTTCTTCATGACAGTGATAATGATAATATTTCCTAAGATTTTGATTGTCTTAACCAAGTGGTTTGTCTCAGCAATATATCTAGTATCTTGAACAGCTTGAGTCTTACATTTAATGGCCTAAGTATTACGCTTTTTTTATTGCTGAGGGTAAGAAAGAATATAGAATATTCAACCATATATAGCAAATGACTCAAGTCACTTTGTTTCTTAACTTTTATAGTTTTCATTGGAGGTTATGGAATCCCAAGTAAAATTGCTACTTTTGGAAGACCCATGGAGTTAAGCAAGTGTAGGGCATTTTCTAGGAATAAGGACCCAACATGACTAGACTGCATGAGCTATGTTAAAGCACTGTAATCTGAAGAAGAGGTAACAGTGGTGACTTAGAGGAAAGATAAAAGGCTTAAATTTTGCCTTTCTTTAGTTCTGTGGTCTTAGGTTATTTAACTTGAGTTCTGTTTTCTCATTGGTAAAATGATGGTAATAATGCTTTTATGACCTGTTTTGTAGAGATGTTTGTGAAAGACTTAGAATAGTACTAACACATAAAAGACATGAAATATGTCCCTGCCTTTGTTGTATTTCCTTTATCCTTTTCCTTGTTAATAGATTTACTTATGAAATATGACTTTAAAAAAACTTTCTTGACATTGTTTAGATGTGAAAAGCTATATCCCAGATTGCTTGTGATAAGAAAATACAAGCTGTGCCCTGGCTGGATAGCCTAGTTGGTTAGAGTGTTGTTCTGATACACTAAGGCTGTGGGTTTGGTCCCTGATCAGAACACATAAGAATAAAAAAGTGAATGCATAAATAAGTGGAATAACAAATAGATGTTTCTCTCCCTTCTTCCCTCTCTCTAAAATCAATAAATGAAAAAAAATTGCTATTTTTAAAATAATTTTATGCATTCTTTTATTGACTACTATTACACATTTTTTTGATATTTTATTTTTTATAATTACATTTTATTGATTATGCTATTATAGTTGTCCTGATTTTTCCCCATTTGCACCCCTTTACCCAGCACCACCCCCACTCCCTCAGGCAATCCCCCCAACTCATGTCCATGGGTCCTGTGTATAAGTTCTTTGGCTACTCCATTTCCTATACTGCACTTTACATTCCCATGGCTAATCTGTAACTACCTATTCGTACTTATTTTTTTCTTATGTTTTAAATATTTTATTTATTTTTTTATTGTTCAGATACATTTATCTCCATTTTCCTGCCACCACTTTCCCCTGCCCCACCCAGTCCCAGCTCCCACCCTCAATCCTTCCCCACTTTGGCTTTGTCCATGGGTCCTTCATACACGTTTCTTAACTTGATCCTTCTCCTCCTTTTCGCCATTACCCCTGTTCCTCTTCCCCTCTTACTAATGTCAGTTTGTTTTTTCTTTCAGTGTCGCTGATTATATTTTTCTTGCTTTTTTGTTTTGTTTAATTATTTTAATTATATTGCAGTAAAAGTGCTCTTTGAATTATATAAGATTATATCCTGATAAACCCATAATAAGTTGAAAATATTATGACAAAAATGCATTTAATACACCTAACCTATTGAACAACATAGCCTAGCCTACCTTAGACATGCTCAGAACAATCACATTAGCCTGCAGTAGGGAAAATCATCTAATACAACATACATATTGTAGAATATTGACTGCTTACCATTGTGATCACATTCCTTTCTTTTTTTTTAAGATTTTTTTATTGTTCCAATACATTTGTCTCCTTTTACCGGCCACCACTTACCCCTGTCCCACCCTGCCCCACCTTCCCCTCAAACCTTCTACACCTTGACTTCGTCCATGTGTCCTTCAGACCTGTTCCTTCGTCTGACCCTTCCCCTTTCCCTTCCCCTCCCCGCTACCCCCTTCCCTCCTTCC